TGGGGTCAGAGAGAGAGAGGGGGGGGTCTGTGGCTCCCAAGAGAGAGGAGAGAGAGAGAAGGCGTCTGGGGTCCGAGAGAGAGAGAGAAGAGATCTGGGGTCCCCCATCTCAGGGCCCCTACGCGTTCCACTTGGGTCAGGAGGGGCAGAGCCTGGATCCTGGAGAGAGAGAGGGGGGAGTCTGGGGTCCCCAAAAGAAGGGAGAAGGTCTGGGGCCCCCCCTCTCATGGCGCAACCACATTCCACCCTTGTGACCCCCAAAGAGAGAGAGACCAGCTGCTTTGCACATGGGGGAGGGGCCATCATTTTCTGCCTCATGCGGTGAGCACATCTGGTGGTCCAGGTTGCCTGGCGCAAGCTGCCCCCCCCTCCGGTCGAGTTTGGGCTTGACACCGGCGGACGGTGAAGGCAGAAGGAGCAGAGAGCAGATGGGTGGGTGGGCGGCACACTGGGAGCCCCATCTTTATGCCGGGTTTCTACCCTAGGGCCCCCTCCTGACCGATGCCGCCCCCGGAGCCCCCCAGGAAAAGGACGAGACCAACGCGCGGGAGCTGCAGGAACTTCAGACGCAGTGAGTGTGGCGGGCAAGTGAAATGTGTGCGGGCTCCTGGGCCACCAGTTCCCCTTCACCCCAATTTTCCACTGACCTCGGGAGCCTCTCCTCCAGCTCCCCCCCCCCCCCAGGTGGGACCCCAACGGAGGTATCGGGTGCAAGGAAACGGGTCCGCTTACTAATAGCTGAACCAAGCAGCTTTATTGGCCTCGGCCTATCCAGGCAGTCCCTGACTTACAACAGTTCTTTTTAGCAACCGTTCGAAAGCGACCACGGCACTGGAAAAAGGGACTTATGGCCGTGTTACACACCACTCTAGTAGCATCCCGCAAGGGTCCCGCGATCAAAAGTCAGAGGTTTGGCAACTGGCTCGTATCTATGACGGTCGCAGCATCCCTGGGGTCACGCGATCGATCCCCTTTCATGACCTTCCGGCCAGCGAAGCCAACGAGGGAAGCCAGATCCAGCTGAACAACCCTGTGACTTAAGTTAACCCCTGTGGGATGACCCAGAGGGGTGTGACACAAAAATAACCAAGTCACAAAAGTAGAATAAATTCCCTTTAATGCTTCCAACTTGGCCCCCAATGTCCAGTTATCCTCGGCTGGATATCAAACTCTTCCAAAAACAATCTATGAAGGGAAGAAATGCAGTCCGAACCCAAAGTAAAGATAATTAGAAATTAAAAAACCAACACAAACCACACTGAAGTAATTAACACAGCAGGCCAGGATGATCAATTGCAGGCTTTCAAAGGATAACACAGCACCCACAGTTGGGAGGACGCCAAAACCCAGATAAGGCTCGACCAAGATAATGCACGCTTTGCTTCCAGCAAGGAGCCGTGTGCAAACACCCCACTTATATCCTGTTCTCCCAGCCAAAACTAATGAAAGGGATCAGGGCCCTTTTTTCTCCCGTAAGCCATGTTGCTCCCTCTCCGTTCCTCCCCGCATGCCCTAGGATGAAGAGGGGATGGCTCTGGGTCTTCCTCTGAGTGTCCAGCCGGACTGTGCCCTTCCCCCATATCTTCCACAGCCACCGGAGCCACACTCCCACTCCCTGTCAGCTGCTCAATCTCCCCCTCAGAGTCAGACGGCAACAAGGGCATGACACCCTGAAGTGTGATTCACTTAACAAATGTGAAAAAGGTCGTAAGAATGGGGCAGAATTCATGCCCCACTTAACCATAGAAAGGTTGCACTCAGTTGTGGTCCTAAGTCGGGGACTGCCTGCATTTACAAGAATCTCCCCGGATGTCTTGCCTTCCCCTGGGAACCAGCAAATAAGGCTCCATGGGCGATAGTTTGGGGGTGGCTTCAGACTTACTCCTCTCGCAGCTTGTCAGGGTTCCGGCGATTGCCCTGTTTAAATCATGAGCCTCGAGCCCAGCTTCAAAAAACCCTCAAAAGATTTATTAGGAGCAACATGCCGGCATTAACCAAAACGAATCCAACTCCGGGATATGTAATTCACAGTCGCCTGTGAGACCCTGTTTTCCCCCCTCCCCCCTGGGTGTGTCATAAATCAGATTCTCCAATGAAGCAGAGTTCACGGGCTGGGTGTCATCAATCACATTCTCCAACTGAGGATTTTCAAGGGCAAAAGATCCTCTTTTTAAGATCAGGGTGGTAGGTACTTGTTAGGGATATACACCCTAGCAGAACGTGCAACGGCAGTCTAGCAGGCAGGCAGATATGTGAGACAAAACGTTGTAGTAGCTTACACTCAGTAAGACAGGTACACTGTGCAAGTTAAATAGTTTTTATTCCAGCAAGAGTTATAGCATAGTCAAACGGTCCATATGTCATACACTAAGTTCAGTCAGTCCGGGGGTTAATCAGTTTGCAAAGTCCAGTGTCGAAAAAGAGTTCATTAAACTTACAATCAATCAGTCCAGTGATATATCTCTTTAGCAGTCAGAGAGATATGAAGAAAAATCAAACCCCTTTTCTTCTCTCAGCAAACACGCAGTTATCACCATCAATTCATCATTGTCAGCATTCCAGTAAAAGCCAGGCAAACAGTGAGCTCTCTTGCTCCCTCTTATGGTGATTTTACAACCGCACCCAAAAACTTGGTTTACAGTTTAAAGTGATACATACACTTAAACTCACTAACATAGTTTATATATTATTATTTTAACCAAACTAAGTTAGGTAACCAATGTTATCCCTAACAGTACTTCTGATTGTAAACTGCCGTACTGCTCCTCCGGATTCCCCCCCGCCCCCCCCTGTGTATGGCAACTCGAAAACAGGCCTAGGAATGCTTTACGAGTTGACCACAGCTATGCAAGGATCGAAGGCTACTTCCCTGCTTGACTCCTCCTTCCAGCCCGGCTGGTAGTTACCCAACCGGTGGATCTCTTCCCTCCTGCCTCTGATCCCCGAGCTGATCCCGGGGACGTCCAGGCCTGGCCTGCTTCCCTTTGAAGAGTCAGGGTCCATCCAGCCCCCCACCTGCACCCCCCCCCCCCATCTCCCTCACGGGGTCTCTCCTTCCATTTCCAGGCTGTCGGAGGCCAAGCAGCAGCAAAGCCTCGCCAGGCAGGGCCTGAGCCAGCTCCAGCAGCTGCTGCAGGAGGAGCGGGAGAGGCGGCTGGCGGCCGAGGAGGCTTCCTCTGCAGCCCAGGAGCAGATCCGCAGGTATTGTTGGAGGGGGGGGGACTCTCCCCCTCCCTCCTTCCCTCCGCTCCCTCCTGGCTGTTCCAGGGAACCCGCTCCTGAGGGACTCCGCTCCCTCTGCTCTGGGAACCCTCGGCCAAGCGGGCGGATCAATTCCGTTGACTCGATGGGTGGAGGGACCGATCTTGTTGCGACCCCTTTCCCAGCCCTGCAGACCCTTATCTGCTCCCTGGTGGTCTCGGCCCAAGGGAGGCGTTTCCGAGGCTGATTGGTGAGAGGGGGGAGGGGGTGCTTTGGGGTCTCTGGGGAGGGGTGTTCAGGCCTCTGGGGAGCAGCAGGTTGTGTGTGTGTGGGGGGGAGGCCAGGGCCCCACCGTTGGCCTCAGGGACAGGGCCCTGATACCTAGGCCTCTTTGCCCCCCCAGGTGGGAGTCGGAGGAGTATGCGCAGTCTCTGGAGACCAGCATTGCCATGCCGCCCAGCCATGAGCACGCCCGGCTGCTGGGGTCTGCCGAGAGCGCCTTCAGCAAGGTAAGGGGGCCACACAGACCCCCCCCCAGACACGGGTGAGGATCCCTGTGATGCCTATTGATACCTCTGTTTAGTCTGTCCTTTCCTCCCCTCCCCTCCTTCCTTCCTTCCCCCTCCCTCTCATTCCCATCTCCTTCCTACCTTTCTTTCTTCTTTCCTTTTCCTCCCACCCTCCCTTTCTTCCACTTTTCCCTTTCCTTTCCTCCCCTACATTCCTCCCCACTCCCTCCCTCCCTCCTCCCCTCCCTCTCATTCTCATCTCCTTCCCTTCCTTCCTCCCTCTCCCTTCCTCCCTTCCTTTTCCTTCCTTTTCCTTCCTTCCTCCCTCTCCCTCCCTCCCTTCCTTTTTCTTCCTCCCTCCCTCTCCCTCCCTTCCTTTTCCTTCCTTCCTTCCTTTTCCTTCCTTCCTTTTCTTTCTTTCCTTTTCCTTCCTTCCTCTCCCTCCCTCCCTTCCTTTTCCTTCCTTTTCCTTTCTTCCTTCCTTTTCCTTCCTTCCTCCCTCTCCCTCCCTCCCTTCCTTTTTCTTCCTCCCTCCCTCTCCCTCCCTTCCTTTTCCTTCCTTCCTTCCTTTTCCTTCCTTCCTTTTCTTTCTTTCCTTCCCTCCCTTCCTTTTCCTTCCTTCCTTCCTTCCTTCCTTCCTTCCTTCCTTCCTTCCTTCCTTCCTTCCTTCCTTTTCCTCCCTCCCTCCCTCCCTCCCTCAGCCTTACCATCTCCCTCTTCCTTTCACTCACGAACAGAGTGGAAAGTCCCCCTCCCGGCACGGACTGTCCCTCCCATCAGACAGCATCCATCACCATTCCTTTCCCGCCTCCCTTGGCGGCAGCTGGGCTGGGGCTCTGGGGTCGAGGCGCCCTCCTTCTCTAACTCCTCCTCCCCTTCATGGCTCTCCCCCCCCCCCCCCCCCCCCCCACAGGCTCGAGGGCCCCGGGGGCTGCCGCGTGTCCTGCGCTCTCTCTTCTGCCCCCGGAGGCTGTTCTCCCTGCTGGCCACCCTCTACCTCCTCGGGATCCACCTGCTGATATTCCTGCACGCCGTGGGACGCCTGTGAGAAGACCGAGGCACCGGAACTTGGCTGGACCGCGGACCCCGATGCCTGGCGGCAGGGGTGGAGGGTTGACCCTGCTGGTCTGGACACCAGGGTGGGGGGGCTTCCCGCGGCCTGGTTGAGGCCGCCAGAGGTCAAGCCCAATCCTGGTTAGTTAAAGCAGGCGACGGACTTCCTCAGCCCTTGGCGATGCAGGGTTTGTGCCGCTCCTTCAAGGGAAGCGCCAGGGTTTCGCCGGCCAACTTGGGGTTTCACATCATCAGTCCACCGTTGATTTTGGGGGGTGGGTGGGCAGGAAAGGGCGGAGAGACGACGATGCCCGCCTCCCTTTGGGTGGCATTAATCATCATTAGCGAAGGTGGGGGGCTCCTGCAGGAGAAGGCCAGGATCCTGGTCTTTTGAGACGGGGGGGGGGCCGAGGGAAGACTCACACCTAACTCACGTTAAACATCCGTTCTCTCTCTTTCTGCACATTTGGGGGGGGGGTGATGGACACGTTTTAGCCCCCCCCCCCCCGGGCTGGAAATACTGCCCCTTAAGGCAGGCTTCCCCAACCTTGGATCTGGATTCGGGGACCGGCCTGGGGGGAGAGAGGGGGGAGGGGAGAGGTCCCTGCAAGCGGCACCCGTGTGCTCGCACCTCCCATTTGTGCAAGTGGCGGGCAGGCATGCGCACTGTCTTGCTGGCTTCTGACACAAGTGGGGGGGCCTGCATGCCCGCCACTTCTGCTGCCCGGTTCCGAAGGGGTCAAGGCATGGTAGTGGGCTGCAGCCCCGGGGGGGGCGGGGAGAAGATGTTGGGGACCCTTGCCCTAAAGGGAGGAGGTGGGGGTAACCCTGTTCTGTCCTGTTCTGGAGAGTCAAGAAAGGAGGATCTGTCTGAAGTCCCCGGACACCCCCTGACCGTCCAATCTCCGCACCTCCCGGTGCTCAGTTAATGGAAGGTTAATGGGAGCCACATCCTTGGCTTGAAGGGGAAAGGGGTCAGGATTATGGGCCAGGGGGTTCCCTTTCTGGCCACTTTGAGAAGAAGAAAGACAGGCCTCTCTTGGTCTGGCCTAGGATCTGCCTCTTGGACCCCGTTGGACACTTAATGGGGGTCCCCACCCCATGGCCTGGGGGGGTGCCCTTTATCCCCTCCGCCTGGCCTTCTGGGTCTCTGCCACCCCTTTGTTGTGCAATAAAGATGTTTATTTTTTCTGAGCGTCTTGCGTATGAGTGGCTTCTTGTCCAAAGGTCATTGGGAAGGCGTTTCCCTCAACTCCCAGGTGGTCATAAATTGGTCGTGACTTGCTTAGCCACTTCCACATGTCGAGGACTACGACTGTTAAATCATTTTCTTTTAACAACCCTATCATCCCCTGCGGGGTGGAGTCTAGGCAATTTAACGGAGCTGAGTATTTACTGGCCGGATGCCCTTCCCTGTCACCAGTGCGGAGTTGTATTCAGCAGATAAATTCTCATCTCATATCTGCCTCTCCCTAGGATCGAACTCACAGCCTCCTGATTGTGCGGCGAGAGCTCCACTTCCAAGCCACCGCACCACTCAAGGGCTATGACTAGTAAATCATCTCCTTTGAATGACCCCATAATCCCTTGCGGGTGGAGACTGGGCAGTTGAATGGAGTTAGCAGAGTGTTTTAATGGCCAGATGCCTTTCCCGTCGCCAGCGTGGAGTTTTGTTCAGTAGATATATTCTCATTGTGCCCAGAGAAAGAAATATCTGCGTCTACCTAGAATCGAACCCACAGCCTCCTGACAGTGAGGCGGAGAGCTCTACCTCTAGGCCACCGCACCACTTGAGGACTACAACTCATAAATGCCGGCTGGGAATTGTGGGAGTTGAAGTCCACAGGCCTTCAAGTTGCTGGGTTTGAGAAACGCTGCCAGTGCAAATCCCCGGATCTCTAGACGCCGCAGCTTAGCCCCTTGGGCCTCAGAGCGTCCCCACCTCCATCGGGACATTTCTAAATGGAGCAGAATTAATTAATGAGGTTGCTTTGAAGTCCTGCCCTACACAATTACAGGGACCTTAATGAGGTCCCTCTTGAATCCCGGCAAAAACCCAACGTGGGATTGTTAATTAATTGGGAAGGCGTCGGCACCGCGCTTCATCTAACTTTGATTCCCTGGGCAAAAGTATTGGAAAAAAAAACACACCATCTGACAAATACCTAAAGCAGGGATGTTCACGCTTGGCCGCTTTAAGGCCTGCGGACTCCAACTCCCACAATTCCCAGCCAGCATTTATTAGTTGTAGTCCTCGAGTGGTGCGATGGCCTAGAGCAGGGGTCCCCAACCACCGGTCCACGGACCGGTACCGGTCCGTGGAACAAGTCCTACCGGGCCGCTGGTTTGCTGGGCGCTGCCATCTTGTTTTGATGAAAAAGTGCTTCCGGTGAGCTTTTCCGGGTAGAAAGCTCACCGGAAGCACTTTTTCATCAAAACAAGATGGCGGCGTCCAGCTGATGCCGGTACCGGGCCGCGCCATAAAAAAGGTTGGGGATACCGGGCCGCGGCATAAAAAAGGTTGGGGATCACTGGCCTAGAGGAAGAGCTCTCGCCTCACAATCAGGAGGCCGTGGGTTCGATTCTAGGTAGAGGCGGACATTTCTCTGGGTATGCTGAGAATATATCTGCTGAACAAAACTCCTCATCGTTGACAGGAAAGGCATCCGGCCAAGAAACACTCCGTTCCATTCAGTTGCCCTGAAGGTCCACAGGTCTTAAAGCGGCCAAACATGGACACCTCTGATCTAAAGGTAAGTCTTTTTTTAAAAAGGATTTTGGGTGGCTTGAAGCAATATTGGGAACGAGCTGGCTTTGCTGGGGGGGGGGGGGGGCAACTTTCTCACCTGCGGAACAGGTAGCACCTGCAGGCAAGCCCTACACAGGTAAGCGCTTTGGCTGCGAAGAAGCGCGTCGAAAGCTGAAGATGCTTTGGCCTTCCTTGACGTGCGTCCTAATTTTTCCCTCTCCATCGTGCCTCGTTGAACCATTGCCTCTTTGGTTTGCTTCTGAACATGCGCAGAGTGCACTTCTTATTTATTCCTATTTATTTATTTTAGAACAGAGGTCTCCCAAACTTGGCAACTTTAAGACTTTGTGGACTTCCAACTCCCAGAATTCCTCCTCCTCCAGTCATGGTAGCTCGGGAATTCTGGGAGTTGGAAGTCCACAAAGTCTTAAACTTGGCCAAGTTTGAAGACCCCCTGTTTTTTAGGAGGTTGATATCATGCCACCTCTTTGGGAATTTCCACCGCTCCCCACATCTCGAGTGGGGTCAGATGTAGACCCAGGTTGGGTAGAGGAGAGCTGACTTTCCCTCCCTCCCCTCCCCCCCCCCCCCCCCCCCCCCACAGGCCCTCGGTCGTCTTCTGGGGCCCAAGAAGAAGCAAAAAAAACCTCTTCCTGATTTGGCGAACTTCAAACAGGAACTTGGGTTTGCAAGTGAAACCAGGGTGGGAGGAGAGGAAGCCGAGCCGAGGCGCTGCCAGAAGCGGAACCGAGGCTCCGGGCAAGGTATGGAGGCTTGGAGGTGCGGCGCACGGGTGCTGCTGGGGGCTCGTGGCTGAGCTATGGGGGGTGTGTGTGACACCAAGTCAACCTTGCTTGCTCCAAGATGCCCCGTGGTCTTGTCCCATCTCTGGAGCGGCTGGGATACGGGCAAGGTTGCTTCGACCCAGCAAGAGGAGGCAGCAATTTGAGCCCTCTTGGGCGGTTGGGAAGAGGCAGCCACGGGGAGCAGATTAACAAAGAGTTGGAAGGGACCTTGTAGGTCATCTAGACCAACCCCCTCCCTCCACCACCCAAGCAGGAGATCGTACCCCATTTCTGACAAGAGGGCAGTCCAGGCTTTCCTTGGGAGCTTCCAGCAATGAACTTCTGAGGGCCACTTCTGCTCCGTGGGGGGATTGAGCGCTGGGGGGCCAAAGGGATTGAAAAGCCCCCCCTCCCTCCCTTGGCTCTTGGGCTTCTCTTCTGCAGAGCTTCTGATCTCCAGCGGCTGCCTAGCTGCCCCCTTGTACCCATCGAGGCTTCCACAGGGCAGCATCTGGAGCAAACTGGAGGGGGGGGGGGAGAAAGGGACCTGTTTGAGATGGGGGGGAAGGGGAGAGGTCCAGCTGGGCTAAAAGGGACTCCTGCAAGGGGTGAGGGAGGGCAGGGAGGGACGTCTGGCGGAAGTTTGGGCCTCTGAATTCTGCACCAGCATTCTCTGACTGGCACTTTTTGTAAATGCTTTCCGTGAAGATTTTAAAAGCTGCAGCAGATCCTGGCAGATCTTTGAGGCAGATCCTGGTGCTTTGGAGAATAGCTTGACCCCCCTCTTCTTTGGGGCAGCCTTCTGGAGGCCAGCCATTCCACTCATGTTCCCACTGCCAAGAAATTGGATCTCTCCTTGCTTTGGGGCAAGTCAACCTACCATTACTGGCCGCCTTTTATTCAAAGCCAGCGTTCTTCATTGTTCTTGAGAAAACTGGAGGGTGGAACGTGGACAGGGTCAAGCTGGTCCCTTTTAGATCAACAGAGTTGGAAGGGACCTTGCAGGTCATCTGGTCCAACCCCCTCCTGCCCAAGCAGGAGACCCTACCACCTTCATGTGCAAAGCAACTGCTATAAAATTTGAGTCGTTGTGTAAACTTATTTTGTGCTTAGAAAGTTTCACCTTAGTTCTAGGTCTCATTCCGGGGTTTATGCCCCCAGTTGGTTTTCTTTTGGAGCTGGAAAGCACCCTCCCCCCCCCACCAACCTCTCCTTAGAGAGGAGGGGCTTTGGACACTGGCTTCCACTGCTTGTGGTGTTGTGACCACAGGGGAAAAAAACGCTGAATTGGTGCATGAACCCACAAGAGAACTCAGCCAAAGACCGGTATATGCCTCATTTGCTGCACAATGCTTGCAACGGAACGATCGTTTCCTTTCGACTTACATCCGGCTGACTGTAGGATGGTTAGCTGAGTTTCCATCTCTTGCCTGCACCACAGTCCAGAGCGAACAGCCATTTAAGGAAGCGGTTCAAGCGATTTCATTGTAAATATGACACCAATAATGATAACAAATAAGGAACCACAAACTGTCGATAATGGAATTGCCCTTGATTCAGGTGTTTTTTTTCTATGTTGTGTACATGTTTGTTCATTTATTTTAATCGTATATTCAATAAAGTTTGCTTTTAAATTTATTTTTTAAAAAAGGAAGCGGTTCAAGACCAAAAAAAAAAAAAAGAGTCCCACATTGGTGCAGCCCATAAAATTTCATTTTATTATTCATTGCGCAGTCAGCCAGATGTTCAGGCTGGGTTTGGCATTTTTGTGTACCTATTGAGTCCCTACCAAGGACCAAATCTGGACATTTGATAGTGTTACGGATATTGTCGCAGGATGGAAGCTGTTCCAAGTAAAGCTGCCTTCTGCAATTGACCGATGACAAATTTGTCCATGCCACTGATGGTGTTCAAGTGGTGCTCCGGTTGTTTTGGGACTGTACCCAAGGCACCCATTACTATTGGTACTACCCTTGCTTGCCTTTGCCATAGTCGTTCTACTTTTATTTGTAGGTCTCTGTATTTTGTTATCTTCTCCAGTTCTTTCTCTTCTCTTCTGCTCTCTCCAGCCACTGTCACATCCACTATTCTGACTTTTTTGCCTTTGTTGTCGACAACTGTTATGTCCAGTGTGTTATGTGGCAGGTGCCACTCTGTCTGGATTCTGAAGTCCCAGAGCACTTCAGCACTTTTTTTATTTTCTATGACTTTTTTCTATTTTATGGTCCCACCAGTTCTTGCAAATAATACTTCTTGCAGATCTTCAGGTTCAACATGTTTCTGTCTGAGTTTGCTCCATGTTGGAGCAATCTACAACTGGTATTGTAAAATTGACTTCATGTGTTTAAAAAGAAGTTAAATGAAGTCTCAGCCATCTGTGTTTCCTTTTCTGGCACTGAATTTACGCTATGATACTCTGAACAATGATTTCTTCCAACAACCAGTTCACCAAACCACTGAGAAAGTTAACAACCAGTTCTCCCGAAGTGGTGCGAACTGGCTGAATCCCACCATTGGGTATGGGGTCTCCTGCTTGAGCGGGAAGCTGGACTAGAGGACCTCCAAGGTCCCTTCCAGCTCTATTCTGATTCAAGTTCTTATCAGCTCCATGAAGGTCCATGATGTTATGACTGCAAAGATATGACCACGGAAATGTCTTTGGACAGTGGTAGCTCGATGGCCGGAGATGAGCAGTGCCTGCTATGGTTGGCAACAACTAGCAGAGTTAAATCCCCAGGGATTCCTTTACTGTTGTTGTTGTTGTTTTAAACTAGCTCCTGTCAGATGGCATAATTTAGGGGAAGAGACCAGGACCGTGCCCACCCTGCCTGACCAAGTAGGAGGGATAGATGTCCTTAAAGAGACACGGTCAAACTGATAACCTGGCCCTCTGCTTTTAAAGGCGAAGACCATAAATTGCACCCGGGAAGAAGCCAAGGCAATTCACACAACAAAGGGGTTACATGTGGGCCCCTATTACTATTCCGGCAGTTAAGGGAAGAACAACAGAATGACAGAGTTGGGAAGGGACTTTAGAGGTCTTCTAGTCCAACCCTTTGCTCAAGCAGGAAACCCTGACAGAATTAGAGAATAGCTGAGATGGAAGGGACCTCAGAGATCTTCTAGTCCAACCCCCTTTTCAAGCAGGAAACCCTGGGCCACTCAAGACCAATTGTTGTCCAGTCTGTTCTTTAAAAGTGGAGCAATGGAGCAACATCAATGGTGCAGAAAAAAAACAACGTGGCTCCCCTCGACAGGACAAGACAGTCTGGCAATGGCTGTGGAACCTTTATTTGTTTATTTGTTTATTTGATTGATTGATTGATTGATGGGCCAACCATCTCGTTTAGCAACAGGTCTGTTGCTGAGGTCCACGTCCTAATGCAGTACAGCAAGGGTGCAGGTAGTCCTCATTTTGTGACCGTCATGGAATCTTTGACGATGGCAAAGCGGGTGACCACACGACTGGGCACAATTTTTTTTTCTTTTTTAGTGGCGGTCCTTAAAGCAAACATTGCGGTCATTAAGCGAATCCACTATTTGCCATGGGCATTTTTTTTTTTTTTTTGGCCAGGCGCTGGAAATAAATGCCCGTTTCTGGCAAACGCATTGCTAAACCATCGTTTTCACGGAAGGACGCTGCAAAGAGTCAGTTGTAAACGTGGTTGGTTGGATTCTCTCTCCTCCCAGATGTGGAAAGCCGCAGTGGGCCACAACGTGTCCGCAAAGGTGGAGACCCAAGGAGACGATTGGGACACTGACCCGGATTTCGTGGTAAGTCCTCTTTGCTCCTCCGTTGCTCGTGGTTCAGGAGCTCCAGACCCATGGGGCTCTGCCTGGCTCCCACAGGGGTGGGTACGGCTGCCTCTCAGGAGGCAGGAAGGATGGTCTTAGGGGTGAAGTTCAAAGAAGCCAAGCGGTGGTGGGATTCAAGAACTTTGACCAATGGTTCAGTGGGCGTGGCTTGGTGGGTGCGCTTTGTGTGCATGCGTGCGCCAAACATGCACTTGTGCAGGCACACAGGCATTCCACCTCACCTCCTGCAAGCCTGCTCTTTCCCGGTCGCTTCAGCAACTGCCACGCGGCACTCTCCTGTGCCGCGAAAAGCGAATGCGCTTCAAAAGCAGAGGATAAAGGTGAGTACGGAACTGTGGTGGGATTCCATTTTTTTTTTACTGCCAGTTCTGTGGGCGTGTCTTGGTGGGCGTGGCAGGGGAAGGATACTGTAAAATCTCCGGTCAGGGCTGGTATTTGCTGGTTCTCCGAACTACTCTAAATTTTCGCTACCGGTTCTCCAGAACTGGTCAGAACCTGGTGAATATCACTTCTGCTATGGGAGCCCAGGCGGGCAGGTGGGCCCAACAGCGGAGAAGTGGAGAGAACCGGTTCGGTTTCTGCTGCTCATCGCCACTACTGGCTCGGCAGAACCGGGCCGAACCAGTAGCATACCACCACTGAAGCCAAGATGTTAATCATGACTGTGAGTGAGTGAATGAATGAATGAATGAATGAATGAATGAAATAATTAATTGATCAGTTAATTTGTCAGGATTCCAGAGATCGCCCTAATTAAATAATGAGCCTCAAGCCAAACTTTAAAAAACCCTCAAAGGATTTATTAGGAGCGACATGCTGGCATGACCTGTATGAAGCCGACTCTGTGATACATAATTTACAATCACCTATGACCTTGTTTCCCCCCACCCCTCTGGGTGTATCATAATTCAGATTGTCCAACGAAACACGAGCATAGCCAAGAGTCATCAATCATGTTCTCCAATAGAGGATTTTTGAGGCTCAGAATACCCGGTTGCCTCAGTTACAATCTTTGCGAGATAAGCTTGGAATGTTCTTCTGAGCTCATTTGACCTAAACTCCTTTAGGGTTTCCTCCCCTCTTTCTTATGGCAACTTGGAAACAGGCATAGGAATGTTTTGCAAGTTGACAGAATTTTTTTATTGCCCAAGTATGATTGGACACACAAGGAATTTGTCTTGGTGTGTGTGCTCTCAGTGTACATAAAAGAAAAGATACGTTCGTCAAGAGTCATAAGGTACAATATTTAATAGGGAAAACTCTTAGGTCAGGGGGTCTCCCTCCTTCACCTCTCCTCCCCCGGTAAAGACAAGGGATCTGAAAAAAAAATTATTGGAACATTTTTCTTTAACATAAATGAGTGCTTAATAAACAGTGTATTGTCTGGGTCAATTTACTTATACAGAATATCAATAATAATAAAAATATTATTACTTGCATATACTGGTATTCCTCCAACTTCTAATTTCTATCTTTATTGTCTAACCATTTGTAAAACAAATCCCATGGTTAAAAAATATTCTGTATCTTCTTTATCTTTAACATTAGCCGATCCATTTCTGCAGTCTAATAAAAAAAAATTTAAATTATGTTTTCATCTGTAGGAATATTCTCATTTTTCCCAATACTGTGCAAATACAATTCCTGCTGCTGTCAACACAAATAATATTAAATATACAACCCCTTTGTTCATATATTTTTTCTGGTAATATACCTAAGAGAAATATTTCTGGCTTTAGATCTATATGAGAGGTCTCCAAATTTGGCAACTTTAAGACTTGTGGACTTCAACTCCCCAGAATTCCTCAGCTAGCATAGCATAGCTGGCTGAGGAATTCTGGGAGTTGAAGTCCACAAGTCTTAAAGTTTGGGGACCCCTGATCTATATGTAGGAAAAGCCCATTTGAAAAGACTTCTGGAAGGTTGGTGGAGTTGAAGATAACCTCACCTTGGGGAGATGATGTTCCACAGATGGGCACTGGGAGACCCTCTCCTGAATCCCACCAGGTGTAAGACAGGGGTGGGGTTCAAAAATCCCAGCAACCGGTTCTCTACCTGGTTGCTGGGTGGGCGTGGCCATGGTATAGGTAGCCTACCGGAACTTCCAGGAGGACGATTTTCCACTTTCCCCAGAATCCGGAGGCTTCCCTCAGGCCTCTGGGAGGTTGAAAACGGCCTCTCCCAGGCTCTGGAGGCCCTCTGGAAGCCAGAAACAGGCCCGTTTTTGGACTTTTGGTACTTCCCTAAGGCCCATTTTCCCCCCTCCCAGAACCTCCTGCGCTTACCTGCATCCAAAATGGGTCGCATGGAGACTCCTGGGAGGGGATGGGTGGGCGGGGCCAGCTGGTTGCTTCAAATACGGGTTCGCTGAACCAGGTGTAAATTTAACAACAGGTTTGCCTGAACCGGTCCAAACCAGTAGAATTCCACCCCTGGTGTAAGTTCTTATCTCCTCTCATTGACAGAATGACATTTCGGAGAAGGAGCAGCGCTGGGGGGCTAAGACAATCGAAGGCTCTGGCCGTGCAGAACACATCAAGTGAGTGAGGCTTCTTCACCCCGTCTTCCCTTTCATCTAGATTCTAGACCTCAACTTCTGCTGGGCCAAAAGTAGGCTGTGACCCTCCCCGAAACCCTTGGCCTCAGTCCTCCAGTTACAACCATAATGGAGCCCAGAGCCACGTGGAAAGGAGGGCCTTTGTGTCTCACACACGTTGGAAGAAATACGGGGAGCTGGACTGAGGTTCTAGTTGGACTTCTTCTCTTGGTGGTTACCATAGCAGTGCCTGCTTCTCTCAGGAAAAGGAAGTAGTGTCCTCACCCAGATGTTGGCCAAGACTTTTGGCGGCCCACTACAGTGAAAGACGGAGCTACTAGTGGGAGCTGAGCCTGAGGAGACTAAAAGCAGTGTTTCTCAATCGTGGTAGGGTGAAGATGGGTGGACTTCAACCCCCAGAATTCCCCAGCCAGCTGAGGAATTCTGGGAGTTGAAGTCCACGCAATGCTGGCTGAGGAATTCTGGGAGTTGAAGTTGACCCATCTTCAAGTTACCAAGATTGAGAAACGCTAAGAGGACTAGCGGCTTTGTTGACTTTGAGCAATGGAGGTCATGTGAACAAGTGGAAAGTGTTATTTTGGGGCACAGTTTCCCACTCCAGTCTCTAAATTTGGGGGACCAGAAACCATTAGAAGGAGAAAGAAGAACTTCAGAAGTGCTTGTTCTCCCTCCTGCTCCACACACCTGTAGACTCACAGCTCAGATCCTTGCATAAGACTTTATCCTACCCTGCCCCGTCCAGAGTCATTGGATAACAACACCCATCTTCCCCAAACAGCATGGAATTTGCAATCCATTTGGGATTGCATTAGGTTGGAGAACCTTGTGGGCTTCCTCCAGAGAGACCAGGCTGTGCTTCAACTTGACCGTGAAGTTCTTCGGTGTGGATGGAATCCTGTGACCCAAAATTTATGTCGCTTCCTTGTTCTGCCCTCCAAAAACTGAGGAAGTGATGTCCTTCCTCTTTTTCAGAAAACTTTTGTGTCTCTTATTTATGTATCTATTTGGAAAAAGGCAGAAGTGTTGCTTTTCTTCTGCTTGGAGGACATCCTTGTCCTCGCATTTGGTGACATTTTTCTTCTTTCAATGCCTCCGCTGAGATTTCT